TTTGTTTTGTAGTTTTATTTATAGTTTTTATAGTTTTTTTTTTGATAGTTTAGATTTTTTTATTTATAGTTTATAGAAAATTAACTAATAAACGTCGTTGTTTCATTTTTGTGTATGTTATTTACAAATCTATATTTTAATTTTTGTGTTATGTTTTTATATCTTTTTGAAGACAAAAAAATCCCCGTCGTTTTAATTCGACAAAAAAATTCCGACGGTGATTTTTTTTGCGACTTAATCATAGTACCACCCCCATAGCATACACCTATCTACGCCCCTGCTCCATCCACATTCTTTTGCCTCTCCTCCGTTATTTAGCCAATACTGCATTTATAAATAGGTCCTATAATAATGATTTTTAGCTGCGTTAGTTGTTGAAGGTATAAGGTAGCTAAATCAAAATTTTTACTATAAGTACCTGACGAGATGTAAGGGCTTTATATTTAAAATACCTCAAGTGATCTAAATCTTTTGCTAGCCTATGTCGACCATATAATGAAAATAAGAATGTATTTCCAGCTTCGACTAGCTCAGATTTTTGTGCTGCAGGATCTAAAAAACGGATGTAATTTGTCGCAGATGAGGATCTTTTTGCAACGTTTTGAAAGTCGCCAGTTTACATTACATTTTATTTTTTTCTTCCAACCTGTAGCCTAATTTTTCAAACTGTCACTGTATTTTTAAAAACAAGTTGTTTACAAAATGGTGACAATAAGACCTTGGTCTAAGTGCAAATAGCCCCGACCGGGACAAGGTGGAGATTGCTTTCGCACATTATTAGTACACATGTATTTAGTAAAGAATAGCTTTTACAATTTTTGTTAATTTTGAAATATTATTAACCCATCAATAAAAAATATTTCTTGAAAATGTCACAAGGATTGTATTTTAATTGAATTGATGCTAAATATCCATGTTATTTGTTAATAAACTTAAAAAATTAGTAATTTGTATTTCGGTGATTCCTTTTAAAAATTGCTCGATTTCAATTTTTTTTGTACGTCATTGCGTTAGGATAATAAACTATTTTTTATTGATTCTAATAGAGATTTTTATTCTCTTTAATTTTTACCTCTTGAAGTTTTTCGCTGTAACAAACCGTTTTCGAGTTATTTATATTTTTTCCCAAAAAGCACCAAAATTCAAGATTGCGGCCGATTTTTTTTGATGACGCACACATCGGACAAATGGGGACTTTTAGTATGTTAATAAGGGTTACTGAAATAAGTATGTTAATAAGGGTTACTGAAATGTGTGACTGATCCTGTTACTGTTAACTTTTACAATAATAACACATTAGCGCACGTGAAAACATTTCAGTTTAATAGCATTAATGAAGCAGATCTGCTTGATGCCCTTGCTAGCATTAAATCCAATGCAGCAGGCTGCGATGGTATATCTATATTAATGGTTAAATTGTGCTCTCCTTATATTGCTCATATTTACAATTGCTGTTTAAATAATAGCTATTTTCCGATTAGTTGGAGAAATGCAATGATCATGCCCTTGTCAAAAATCTCTAATCCTACAAGTTTAAAAGACATTCGACCTATAAGTAAATTGCCAGTTTTATCAAAGATATTGGAAAAGTTGGTATATAGTCAAGTTTTAAATCATTTAACTAAACATAATTTGATCCCTGATTGCCAGTCAGGATTCAGGAGTAAATATGGTACTTCTGCCGTTTTAGCTAAAGTTTTGTTGGATGATATATTAACAGAATTAGATACAGGTAAGGGTGCAAGTCTGCTTCTATTAGATTATACTAAGGCATTTGACACCTTGGGGCATGACCTTTTACTGGCAAAGCTTCATTATTACGGGTTTTCGGAAAATGTTGTGGAATTGGTTGGCAGTTATTTGTCTAATAGATGCCAGTGTGTAGTTCTCGATGAGGCTCAGTCGGATGCTTTACCGCTTTCTAGGGGTGTACCTCAGGGTTCCATTTTGGGACCACTCTTGTTCCTTATTTACACCGCTGATTTGAAAAATAATGTTGTGGATTGCGAACTGCATCAATTTGCCGATGACACGCAAATATATGCAACTTACACTGCTGAAAATGCAGCAGTTGTTTACAATAATATTAATTCTGCTCTTGAGAAAATAAGTAAATACTCATTGAATCATGGTCTTCAGTTGGATCTTAGCAAAACTCAAATGATTTGTTTTGGTAGGGTACCCTTAGCAAAGGGATTATCTGTTAAACTGAATAACGAAATAATCCATCCATTAAAAACTGTCAAGAATTTGGGTTTTGCTCTAGATTGTGATTTGAGATTTCGAAATCATGTCAATTAGATTATGCAGAAAAGTTATACAGCATTGAGGGGATTGTATAGGAATAAAAATATCATGAGTCAAGCATTGAAACGTAGTCTATGTGACAGTTTGGTTCTTAGCCATGCCATCTATGCTGACAATGTCTATGGACCTTGTCTTGACGTGCACTCCTCTTCTAGAATACAGAAGATTCAAAATTCATGTGTACGTTTTATTTGTTCTCTTGATAGAGGGGAGCATATCTCACCTTGGCTTAAAGAATTGAAGTGGCTTAATATGTAGAACGCCGTAGACTGCATTTGGCTACCTTTGTACACAAACTAATTAAATTACAGACACCATTATATTTAAAATCTAAATTAAAACTGCGCCAAACTGTTCATAGCAGAGACACTCGAAATATTAATCAGTTATATCTACCTCAATATAAGACCTCTTTATATCGACGATTTACGTATTCTGCGGTCTCGTTATATAATTCCCTGCCAAGTGCTTTAATAGCTAAGTCCCTCGGTTCATTTAGATCGGGGTTCAGAGATTTATTATTCCATAATGTGAGTTGAGTATTCTTTTTGAAACCAGCCAACTATGCCTCTCCTTGGCTCTCTCTTCATCAACACCAATACATGCCTGTTGCCTTATGTTATTGCATAATGTACTTACATATAAGTATTAATTGTTCTCTATGTGTGCTCTATGTGTTACACTAATAGTTTTGTTAATGCTTTATATTTTTTATATTTTTTTGTATTTTTCATTATTTTTTTTGTTATTATATTTATACATTTGATATATTAATTTAAGATAAGGTAGTGGATATTGATATTATTTGTTAGGTTATACTGTAATGGTACTCGGTTAACTAAGCAGTTATTTACTGAAATTCGCCGAGGATTATTAAAATAAAGACATATTATTATTATTATTATTATTACTAAGGCTAACTATTTTCAATGGTCGCAGCTTTCTAAAAAATTTTGCAATTTCAACATGGTGAATGTCATAACTGCACTGGGGTATTAGGTATGATCTTGTGGCTATTACTTGGTCCTGAATTGCGCACATAAATCCCTTTGTCTCTGGGAAAATTGTTCCGAATATGGTATAGTATGGAGTAGGCTTTTCAGCGTTACAACGTGATATAAGCCACAAGAGCATTCTTAGTCACTTCTTGTATTTTGCGTTAAATTAGCCAGTTTGTGACCGTTGCGAATTGTAAACACGCATTAGAAAACAGTATGTTAGAGATTATGTTAAAAATATAAAACATGAAGTAAAATTCTCGATATGTATAGTAGCTCAGCTTCACAAGAGTCAACAGCTTTCAAAAAACCTAACAAATCAAACCAAACCAGTAACGCAATGTAATAAAAACAATTCTCACAAATATCATAATAAAGTGTAAAAAAGGGAAGTATATTAAAGGACGACCAAGAGCTTTATTCAGAAGAACTTATCGTTCGCGGTCGCAAAAAAGGCTCATCAGGAAGGCCGTCAGAAGAGAACAAAAGAGAAAAAATAGGTGCTTAAGTAAAAAGATTACCGAAAATACCCCATATGCCAATGAACATTAGTATTTTAATACTTGCAATTAAAGCTGAGCATTGCAGTTTTATCAGGCAATAGCAATGTTTATTATTATTTTTCTTTAAATGTCTTATATTTTAAAGAAATTAATATAATATAATATACATTATTTAATAAATAAACGTTATTTTTGTGGATATTTCGTTTGTTTTATATTTGTAGTCATATTTTTAATGTAATGATAAAGAATTTTACATAAACGAATATTACTGTTTATGCTATCAAAAGTTACGACAGTAATGCGACTCCGAACTATACCCGCTTTTGGCGCATTTGCCAATTCCCTTTCTATACCGCGTTAGAGACATCTTCACTGCTGAATTAAGCTTGGGGGAGGGGCTTAGAGACCTTATGCTCTCTACATGGAATCTTATGGAAATACGCGGCCAGCTCGTCGATAGACGACGCGGCGGGACGAGTCGACAGAAAACCCTACAAGTGCATGCGTTCTCAATAGGCAGTGTTGCCATTCTGTCCCCCTATAAGTAACTGTACATTTAACAACCTGTATAATTATCTATGTAGTACATTGCATTAAAATACATTTGGTTGGTCGTGTTTACACGTTGAACTACACGAATAAAGTTGTTTTGGCAGTCAAGGAAAAACTACAATTTTGATGAAATATAAGATTATAATAATAATAGCTCCCGTATATAGCGTTTAACGCCTTGGGAATAGCAAGGTACAGCTTGCCATACTAGAGCCGTTCGGTATACAAGGAAGGTAATGTGGCTAGCACTACGCTTCAACCTCAGGATTGTGAATCCCAAGTACTCATTTAAGGCTGAGTAGGTACCCAAACTATTTTTATTTTAATAAAAACAGTCGGCTGATGAAATGCCGGGTGTGGGATTCGAACCCACTACCTTGAGATTGGTAGACGAGAGCCTGTACCTCTACGCTATCGGGCACCTAAATATAAGATTATAGAGTAAAAAAAATACTCTATAATAAAAAAAATAAAAAAAAAATTTACTCTATATAAGATTATAGAGTAAAAAAGAAATCGGTACTTATTATGCTTATTAGTATGTACTACCCACAAAGTTGTTAGTACGTACTACCCACAAAGTTGATTAATATATTTCAATTAAAGGTCCAAAGTATAAAATGTTTAATTTTCATACCCTAACTCGGAAAGTTTTGTTTGTAATTCCTGAATTCTTTGTAAATTTCCGTCTTTGGCATGAACCTGAATCAGTCTTCTTATAACACCTCTCGTTTCCATCTTTTTTTCTTCTAATTCAATTAAATGGCATTCTAAGCTCTGAAGATCCATATCTTTCTAAAATATTAAGTAGAATATAACCAAGAACGCAAAAATATATGGGACAAGAAATAGAGTAGAAAACAAATTTCTTGCAGTATAGGTATATAATAAAATTATATAAGGATTCTTGCCACTTAACTGCTGATATAGAAATTTAATTCTACGCTGTGTTTGTCATAATGTGGATTGACCTGCTCTCACTACTGGTTTCGGAGCCCTACTCCATCATCAGGTGAGCTTGAGCAGATCCACAAAATGACAACCACAGCGCAGAGATAGTTAATTCCGACTTGTCGGAAAGTATCGGTTAGATATTAAGTCCCGAACGGGAGATAGCGACCGGGAGAACCACGTTTGTCCTCCAAGGCAAAATTCCTCAAGGCCGTTCGGGTGGAGTCGTCCACCCGAACGAGTCCCGAACGTTAAAAACAGCGTTGTCAGATTGTCAATATTTTCGCATTTTCAAGAAGTAATTAACAAAATTTTCTATATCGGAAAAGGGAGTGTATGGTACTTATATTATGTAAATATAAAATAAAAATAGACTAGAGACTTAATTAAGAATTTATTGATATATTTACTAAATAATTACAAGGCTTTATCCTAATTATTTTTCTTGTGTATTTGGTTGCCTATGCCTAATTCTAAAATAGTTGTTATATGAAACCAAGGCAATGCATTGTTTTGTTTTTTTATAAATGTCTTATATTTTTTATTATAAAAAAATGATTATACAATTTATTTACACCCCTTACACTGTTTTTGTGTATTACCAGAAGTATATTTCGTAACCTCTTATGATAAGAGGGCCCCCACAAATAGTTTTATTACTTAACGCTAATAGATTAAAATATTTAATCTTATGATTAAAATTTAATAATATATTTGTACGTTAAATAAAATAGACTAGAGGCCCATTTAAGAGTTTATTGACATACCTAATTACTAAAAAATTACAAGATTTTTTCTAATTATTTTAGTGTATTTTTGGTTGCCTCTGTTAGGGTGAGTCAACGATAAAGTCCATTATCTCATTTGCTTCGAAGTTTACAAAAAAAATATTGAATACAAGTTACAGGGACGGTTAAGATACACATTTTAAAATTATTATAGAGTATACAGGGTGCTTAAAAAAAGTGTGGCGAATATAACATATCATTTTTAAATGTAACACCCCATTTTTTAAATTTATTTTTAGATTCTGCGTAAAATTCCATAACTTTTTATATATATAATGTTATATACTTAAAATTAATAGTTTTTGTAATATTTAAATTTGTTTAAACACTTGTTATATTGCAGTGTAGTAAAAATTTACCAGTGATGCCCTTCTTTCTGAAGTTGGACGACTAAAATTTGGTAGGAGAATTTTATAGAGATGTAGAAAAAGACACATGCAAAGATATTTTAGTTAGATAAAAAGGGTGTTTCCACAATATATATTCAACAATATATTTATGAATTTCAACTGCTTAAAATTAAGAAATTTTAAGTTTTTTTTAAATGGTACACCCTACCTATATAGTATATAAAATATTTGAATTATTTTCGTTTCTTCTGATATATTTTACAAAACTCTTCAACTCTTATTAAGTATGTCATATACCTATTTTTAATATTTTGTGATTTATTCCTATTTTTTTTCTATTTTTACCCATATTTTTAATACGTAATAATTACGCCATAACATCATAGTTGCCATGACAAAAAGTAATAATTATCAAAATTTCATATGTCTGTTAAGCAAGTTAAGAACAAAATTTGAGTTTTAGTTTAATTTGTTATAATAAGTATAAATGGTAAAAAATTGTTACAGATTTTCATGAAAATTAATTATTCAGACCGATATACACGAACAAGCTAAAAAAATATATTTTTTAGTTCAGTACTATATATTATATTATAGTACTTTGTTAAGTACTATAAGATTAGATGTATATTATCTAGAAAACATTTTCATGTTATATTATATATTATTTTCAGTGTGTACTGGGACGGTTTCGCGGCAGTAGTATAATATTGGCTTTACGAAATAAATTATAAACCAGAATTACTACGAGGAAAAAAAATTATTGTATGTCAAAGAAACTCCCTATAGTCGTCAAGAGTTATTAGGTAATCTAGTATTACCCTAATCTGTAGCTATTCGCCCTGACGGAAAATCCCCAAGTGTCATCTTTCATAATATAGAAATACACTAAGAAATTCACGACTGCGATTTTAGATTATTTGAGTAAAGTTAATTAATTTTAACTAATACTAACAATTTTATTGTAACTAATTATTAAGCTACTTATTAAAGACTTTGTTAAAGATAAGTAATAAATATTTTTGTTTTGTCAGAGCAAACTTGTTAATAAACATTGATATTTAAACAAATTTAAATATTACAAAAGCTATTAATTTTAGGTATTACAACATTATATATAAAAAAGTTATAGAATTTTATGCAGAATCTAAAAATAAATATGGTATTGCATTTAAAAAAAACATGTTATATCCGCCACACTTTTTTGAAGCACCTTGTATAACCTTCCTTATAACTTTTATTTTTAACATTTTTTTGTAAACGTCCAAACAAATCATATAATGGACTTTGCTCTATAGTTGACTCACCCAGTACAGCCGTTTTATATCCAACCATTGCATTATTTTACTCACAAATAAATGTTTAATGGTTTTTATTATAAAACAGGGATTAATTTATTATACACCCCTTACCCCTTCATAAAGATTCCAAGGGGGATATTTCGTGACCCCCTATATTAAAATGGACAAGGTTTATTAGTCAATGTTTTAGTTATCCAGCGTCTTTAATAAAAATTTAATGTATTCTATCTAGTGTATTTTTCATAGAAATGATCTGACATCATAAAAAGCAAATTTTATCAAAAAATTTATTGATTATCTATATTGTTTAACTCGTAGTTTAACCTAGTTTACACATAATTTTTAAATTTAAAAGAAATAAATTGTTTTCTTGACAATTTGGAGAACTTTTTTATGATTTAATTTTGTAATATTTGTTTTTTAGCAATTAGAGTAAAAATTCATTCAGATATAATTTCTAAGTTGAAAGATATATAAAATTTTATCAGTTTTCCCAATTAAATATACAAGTTTTCTAAAAATATCTAATTTACTTATTATTTTGATACACTAACTTAATCATTTTTCCTTTCAAGTATTTATGTCCTTTTATAAAAATAAATTAAGATTGATTGAGAACTGATTAAAAATATTTTATTCCAAAAATTTATATATATTTAAAAAAATATTTATTATATAGAATAAGCACATTTATATGTTATTGATAGTATAAAACACAAGTTTTTTTTTACTAGGTACTCTTTATATCTGGCAGAATCAGTAGTGGGTTTTGTTTCTGAAAACAATAAATTTATTATATTACGACTTTGCTGCACATATGTAAATAATTATTATTATTGTGGATAATTTATTTACCTTTATGCTTTAATGTTCAGACTTTACTGTAATTTATGCTATATCAATCTAAATTGTTCCCGAAGGGTACCCTGAATATCTTCCATCCTTTAAATTCTTCGAAACCTTACAGAAAATGTATTTATTTTATACAATACTTTACACACTTATATAAAAATATAAAATACTTTATACATTTTTGACTTACGTCAGGTATTTTTCTGTAATCTTATATCATTGTCCTATCAAGATCTTCTAAATAAAGTATTCGAAAATACCCAAGTTGTGTCTATGCAGGTTTTTCTATCCTAGATCTTAATTTTAAGTTTACGAATTTATAAATAGTTAACGAATTTATAAATAGAAAAACAAAAATAAATGCCTTTACAGAACCAGTCCTCTTAAATGTGCCTTGTGGCGAAATTCCATCGATGACATTGGTACATTGGTACCGATTTTCATGTATATGAAGAGTATGGTCAATATGCTTATTAGTAACATAAGATGTATTGAATAAAACATATGAAATCATCAGATTCAGTGGTTATGTAATAAATACTTGGCTATCTCCGACTAGATCGCCACATGATCACCATAGCGATTCACACCTAGACATGTAAACACTGACCTAAGGCTTGCCAATATGTCCTTGTGCTAGAAGTATAATATATAGAGGTCTGTGGTCTAGCAAAACTGACACTTATATCCCATATGATCAAAAAAACCGCCGTCCAGTTGGCTTGGAAATGACGATCCATGACATTCCCTATATAATTTTACATATAAAAGACGTTAAAAGATTACATATATTCATAGCCATCGCTGACGCCGTTTTTTTTTCGATCATATTGTACCTACCTTGTACTGTCTACCTATCTCATATACCATATACCCTATGGCTATGCCTTATGGTTTTAAAGATGATAAATTGTTTTTTGTATTATGTGTTTAGCTGTAATTTAAAAGAAATACATTTCGTAAAATACACAATGTTACACTAAATAGATTCGTAATAAAATACTTACTAGTTTACCTTAACAGTACTTAGTTATCAGTTTTTAATCAGTTTTCCTGTTTTCCTTTGAGTTTGAAATTTCCTAACCTTAAAGTTTTCACTCTTTTAAACCATCTCATTTTTGCTCATATTTTTACAATTACTTGTTATGCCTAATGTCCGTGCTGTTTCCTGAAGAATGAACTTTTGTAAGCTAGCTACATATAGATCTTGAAATTTGAACAATATCACATACCTGAAAGGACATCATGTGGGAAAAAATGATTAGAACATTTTTTCTGAAAATCACGGCTAATTTATTTTCAGGAATTTATAGATGGCTTAATGTTTTCTAAAAATTGTTAATCGTTTTACAGATTATGTTTGAATACCTACCTATTTTTATCTAGATATATACCTGATATTTCAACCTTTGTAGACGATATTTCTTATATAAAAAACTCATTATCAGAGATAATCGTGTTGCTATCACTATCATTTTGTTTATGCTTCATTTGTAAAGATTTACGGATTATTTTATATCAGTTCTATTACATTATTCATAACATTATTCGCCAATGTTTATAAAAATTATAATTTTAAACTTTTTCTGAGGTTAATCCTGTCAAATTCAAAAGCAAAACAAGATTGAAAAGTATGCGGCGTTGACAGATTTAATACGTTAGCCAGGACAAAGTCGGGCCAAAATTCTCAAAATAGAAATTTTGAGGACTACCGAACATGCCCGAAGCGACGTTCGGTTTTGAGTATTTTTGACTTTTGGGACAAATACCGCCACCTCTAGCGGCCTGCGTGCAGTGGTAGGACTTTCGTACCATCGAGGCGCAACTATCGATAGTAAAAGGATGGTAAAACATTATGACAAACACAGCGTAGAATTAAATTTCTATATCAGCAGTTAAGTGGCAAGAATCCTTATATAATTTTATTAAGGAAATAAAGTTACATATTCAAATCTAACATGTTAATAATTATATTACTTTATGACATATACAGGGTGGTCCGAACTGTATTCCGAAAACTTCGCCAGCATATTCTGCAGATAAAAATAAGTAAACAAGTTCGTAAAAATGTATGTCCTAAAATGTCTAGTTTCGGAAATACAGGGTGTAGAAGTTTCATTTTTATTTCGATTTTTTCCAAATAATTTCTGAACTAACGACAATATTTGGATTAAAATTGGTGTCCGAGAGTTTTTGAAAATGAGAATTTTTTTTTTCAAATAATATCTGAACTATAGTCGATTTGGATAAAAATTGGTGTATGGATGTTTTTTGACATGAGAAATTTGATTTAGATGTAGATATGACTCCTATTTATAGGGAGCGCCACCTATATGTGTTTTAACTTTTTTGAAGAACTTTTCGTCCGTACCTGTATAAAACTACCGATTAAAAAACATTTCCATCATTTTTTACGTAAAAATGTGTCTTGGTAAAAATCGTTACGAGCAACCGTTCTCAAGATATTTAGAATGGAAATAGTCAATACGTGTCATTATTGAAAAAAAAAATAAACATGTTGAGTACATAGTTACATATTTCACTGAAATTATAAATTTGGGAAATTTTTATGATGACCGATATTGATAATTTCGATTTCAAATATCTCTAGAATCATTATACTTGAAGCAATTTTTACCAAGAAACCATTTTTACGTAAAAAACGTGGTAAATGTTAATTCTAGTAATTCTAGCAATTCTAAGTAGTTTTATACAGGTATAGTTTATCCAAAGTCAGTCGGAATAGATTGGGGCTCTTAATTTCGGCAGTCTTTGTCGGCATCGTAGGGACAAAGGAATTAAGAGTCTCAGTACTTCCAATTGACTTCGGAAATACTAACAGACAAACGGTTATTACTCTTCAAACCAGTTTAAAAATATGTAGGTGGCGCCCTCTACAAATAGGAGTCATATTGACATTAAAATCAAATTTCTCATTTTCAGAAACTCTCGGACACCAATTTTAATCCAAATATTGTCGTTAGATCAGAAATTATTTGGAAAAAATCTCGGAAAAAATCCAAATAAAAATGAAACTTCTACACCCTGTATCTCCGAAACTAGACATTTTAGGACATGCATTTATACAAACTTTTTTACTTATTTTTATCTGTAGAATATGCTGGCAACATTTGTGATACAGTTCGGACCACCCTGTATAACGGGTACCGTTTTTATGAAATAGATAAGTCTATTTCATATAGCTCTGTTAACAGAGGAGGTACCTCATCAAATTCTTATTGTGTTCTAGAATTTAATATGTTCCAGAAAACAAAAGATTGATGGAGCTTTTTATTCCTAACCACGTTGAGAAATACTTGTAACTAAATTAAAATCAATTTCTTAGACTATATTTATAAAATTATATTGTATTATACTATCATCACTGCATAGATACTAAACATCGTAAGTTCCTAACGAGCATTAAATTATCTTTTTACTTTAATAATTATTAAAATTTTCAATAAACAAGACATATCAATGTTACATATTGACATGAAAAATGAGATAGATAGCTTTTAGGTGAAAAAGCGGATTCCAATCAAACTACCATGTCAAAATCTATAATATTGTCACGGATCGCTAGCGTTTTTTATACTATTGATAGTATAAGAACGACCAACCGTAATGGAAAAAACATTTACAACCTTGTAGCTGTAAACTTCTTGAACAGAACTGTTTTTGTTTCAAATTTCAAAAGCAATTTGATTTTTTTTGTTTCTATATCAATATTTTCACCCGTCCTATATATAAAGAAAAATCTATCCATGATTTTTCTTCGAAAAAATTCTTTTGAAAATAGCTCTATTTAAACCATACCACTTGTCATCCAGGGAAACTTTTTCAAGTTTTCAAGTACTGGATATACGTCAACTATAGACATAATATGTGAGAAGTGTAATAACATATATGAATAAATACAAAAAATCGACAAGTAATAAGTGGAACAATATATTTACTAGAGGCTATTCAAGAGAATATGCAAACGTACCGTTTATAAAATTTAGATTAACACAACATTGTTTACTTTATATTGGTCCAAAACTAGTATGTGTCCGTGCCTTGTAGTGCTGACAAGATCGAAAAATTCAATGTGTATGGTATATTTATATAATAGTATTAATTATAATTATATAAGTTTCATGTTTAAATTTAGAAGTAGCAATTTTCTTTTATTTTTAATTATAAATGGTGGAATTATTTTTTCGGCAATGAAGAAGCGAGGGTTTTGACGTAGTAAGTAATTTTTTCGTATGCGGACTAAAAACTTTGTCCCGGTAGGTTTTACAGTTTTGCTACTGAAAAATTAAATTGTAGAGATTTGAATTCTCTTCATTTTTTGTTCTATAAAATTTTCTGTTTAGCCAGAGAATAGAATCCAAAAATGTTTTTTGAGTTTCTCAAAAACGCTATTTTCAGCCCACCTAAAAAAATCTCAAAACTATCAGAGAATGTTATAACGATCCTCAGTTCGAGTGAACATCGTAATCCGCGAAGGTAACTTGCAGTACTCTATTGACCCTCATTGACTTCATTAAAGTTGCATACACATTGTGGGAATGAATGCAATATATCTCGTAAACAGTAAAACGTAAGAAAGTTACACATCAATTTGATGGGTTTTTATGCTCTTTACTTTTAAAAATTTTGCGACAGTAAAAAAAATGAAGTGAAAATCACGCAAAAATGCGAAGAACTGCGTTATTTAAGACTCACCCTGTATAATGTTTGGTAAAATTATGATTCAAATGAATAATATCTAGGCAGTGGAAATGAACGTATTCTAACGTAAGCGCTACTTTACAGTTCGTATTAAAATGATTTGGTTTTCAAAATATAGTTGATATTTTCATATTTAATTTTTTTTATAAAACTTATTTAACTTCTCTACTATTGTACTACTTTTTGATAAATACATTTTCAGCATTTAATGAATATTAAATATAAATTGTTCAAGTAATTTAAATTATATTTTCTTATAATTAATTTGAGTTCGGGTCTGGACCCTTTTACTCATTCCAACTTATTCTTATAAAAAAAGATCAACCTTAAGGTTAGATTAGACTAGATCTAATCTAGCCTTTATTTAAAAAATATGAACCATATTGAAAAATTTTCTTTAGAAGAATAATGGGAATGTCTAGCAAAGTAAATAATAAACAACTTGTAAATATATAACAATCATAAATTGAGTGTTCAAACTTACCGGATGAGGCAAATTAGTTTCTTCATTTAGTTCTTGCATCATATTTGTTACTAAATTAATATTACGATATAAATCAGTTTTTAAATCTTCGTCTGTATAACGATATATAAAATTCTGTAACTTTTGAGCAGAGCGAGAACTTATAGACAAATTGTTCTGGTGAACTAACTAAAATTAAAATGGGATATACAGAGTGTTCCAGGCTGAGCGTGCATTAGGAGTTTCTAGAGAACTACAATATCCAGATCGGAGATTTTTGTGCATCACTGTTTCACAAGAGATCTACGGATTAAAATTATTTTCAATATGGCGGCACTTCCGGAAATATCGGAAGTAGGTAGCAACAACGTTTAAATGGGTACCCTCATTTTTTATTACATATTTAAATTCTCTGTGAATTTTATTATTATGTTTATATCAAATACTCTATACCTAACATTAACGGTTTTTGAGAAAAAATATTTTAAATTTTTGGAGGAAAAACAAAATTTTAAATTTTTGGAGGCCTATCAAAAAATTGTGTATAGCTGAAATGTCAAATAACCATTACGATTACCATACCCACTGTAACATAAAAAGAAGATACGTGAATAATGTAGCTAATCTATTTCAAGAATTAAATTGTTTGAATGTCATATAATATTGGCCGTAGCAGTCATGCAGTTGAACGATTAAAAATTATCATAAATCATTTTGTTCAAATGGAAACCCACTTTTTTATTTTACTAGTGAAAAGATTTTTCCAATTCGTTACTTTTTGATTATATGTGTTCCTATACCTAAAATAAATCGATATTAAGTTATTTAAGATTTAGTTTTAACTGTATATTTTTCTTGATTTTATCGAGGCTACTGGATAAAACAAAGAAAAATATACGCTTTAAAATTAAATCTTAAATAACTTAAAAACGATTTATTTTAGGTATAGGAATATGTATAATCAAAATATATGGAATTGAAAAACATTTCCACTAGTAAAATAAAAAAGTGGGTTTAAATTTGAAAAAAAAATATTTATATTTTTTTAATCGCTCAGTTGCATGACAGCTACGGCCAATAATAATGTCTTCTCTTGATCACAGTGACTGTGGTAATCACTAAATTTGACGTTTAGGCTATACAGATATTTTTTGACAGTCTTTTTGTTTTCGACAGTAATATTTTTTTTCTCAAAAACGGTTAATATTAGATATAGACTGTTTAATATCAAAATTCATAATCTTTTATAAAAAAATTAAGTATGTAATAAAAAAGGGGTTAAAAAAAATTAAGTATGTATACAAAAATACATTTGAAAAAAAGTCGTTGTCAACTTCCGGTATTTCCGGAATTGGCGCCATATTTAAAATATCTCTAATCGATAGATGCAATGATGCACAAAAAATCTCCGATTGTATTGTAGTTCTCTAGAAACAAATGCACACTCAGTCTGGGACACCCTGTATATAATTTAAATCTTAAATGTATAGGAATATTAAGTTAAGCAATTACAAAAACATAGATAATAAATGGAGAAGGATTATTCCTTACTACAATTGGAGATTGGAACCTATTAGAACCATTAAATTTCACAATGTTAGTTACAATTAGGAGTAATCCTTATTTAATATACATTAATTCATTGTAGTAATTTATTTTTAAATAACTAGGACTGTTTTCTTCTGTATTTTACCAGGCGCCTTTTGTTTTAGTATATTTAATTAGTTTTCTCTAGCAAAATACAAACGAACCCATGACTGCTCTACTGATGAAAAGCTGCCGTACACAAGAGATACTATAGTTTTTTAAATAATAAATAATTTACTAATAACCAAAAAACGTTATAATCTCCTGATGATGCTAACATAGTCGACACAGCCAAACACGCGCCCTGTGTTAAAAGTAAAGTAGGTATTTTTGGCGTAATGTGGTATTTAGTATTTTATTTTGCTGTTGTAACACCAAAGGTTCCAACCCCCGAACTATAATAAGTAAGGAGCCACTGAAAATCTGATATATATATTGTATAGATATTTTCCTCCAAGACTGTCATTCAATTTTTAAGTATTTTAAAAATTACTTACCGTTAATAGATTTGAAAAATCTTGAAAATCAATTACAGAATTGCATAAGGTACAAGAACTAATTAAAAACTCTCCAACCGAATCGTTCTCTTTTCCTTTTGACTCATAATATTGTTTTAATATTTGTAAGGCTGAAGTGGAATCTTTAGTCGTAAACCAAGACTTAGATAATAACTGAAGTATTTTATCATCTGTAATGTTAATTTTATATAATGTACCTGAAAAAAAAGGAATTTGTTTACTTATTTAATTAGTATTTTTATATTTCAGTTGGTTGAAAGGTAAAATAGCCTCCAATATCATAAATTAAAAAAAAAATAAGTAGCACCTATAATTATAATTTTATTGTTATTTTAATGACAGTAATTTTGTGAATGTTTTGAAAAAGTAAAAAATATACCGTGCTGGCAACTGTTACTTTTGGGTCGGTATTTACATGTGTGGAAGTAAATCGCATACGGATCTTATTAAGTCGGAGTGAGAAAAATGTGACGGTGTCAAAGAGTAGATAAGACAAGAGACGACAGTTCGCGCGGTACCTTTCATGTTTGAGTGGTGGGGAGAGTGACCTCGTCTCGCTTATCCCTTTAAATTTTCGTAATTTTTTCGCGGGAAATTTGAAATAGACTATTATTAAAACTTGCCCAAGAACTTGCCTGTATAGCTTATAAATAGTTACTGTATGGGTAAAGAAATAAATAGGAATGAAAAAAATGAGTTTTCTAAATATTATATAAAATAAATTATAATTAGAAACATATTTGTCCGGGAAAAAGATAATAAAAGCAATATTTTGTATATCGTTGGTAAACAAGATAAAGTCGATTTGTAAGAAATGTTTTATTTACGTGTATTTTTTTTACATATGGGCTTGAACAAGTGTAATATCACAATGTGGAGTTTATGTACAAAAAAATAGAGTTGCTCAATTTTTTTTGTAAAAATATATTACAAGCTTCTAACTATGTCTTCGATCTATGGATTACATTTAGTTTAATAACATAATTATATAGTATATTTCTATAAAAATACTTTTCAGGATCCTTTGGAAAAGGGTGAAATATTATGTTTGTCGAAGAATATGGCCTATTTTTGCAGTCTTTATAAGCAAACACATTGCCACCATCTCGTCTTTTCCTGCTACTCGTGTCCTGTTCATTGTTCATATTTAATCATAATTACAAATTAGTACGCAACAAAAACGATACTAAAATTAAACCTTAAAAACTCTCAAAACGATAATATATCGAAAAACTCTGAAAACACACTTTAAAAAGGCAAAAATGTAAGAAAACAACTAATCAGATTTGTATTTGTTTATGTTTAAGCCTGATCGAATAGCACAGCTGATTAGCGTCCTAAAATCATAGGTTAGAATAAATAAACTACGCAGTTGTCAGATTTTCAGATTTTATCTGTTTATCTTTGAAATCAATCAACTTAGTCATTCTGTTTCTTTGATATTATCAGTACATTGCGAAAAAAGAACCTAAACCAACCTAAACTAGAAATTTATATTTCCGTATTAACATACGTTACTTATATCCTTCTTATATTATTAATTTATTTTCAGAAAATCTTGTTTATTTTTCAAAGAAATATACTTGGCAACAGACAAAATGGGACTTGATGGGACCTTTAAATTTTAATATATCTGCGTCTCTCTCGCGAGATTCGACTTCTTTGTTCACTGTCGTCTCTTGTCTTATCTACTCTTTGACGGTGTGTTGTTGCGGCGTTGCCACCTTTCGCCCGTACGCGTGTCCCTATCATATAAAGTAAAATCACGATCGTAAACCGTTTATTTTTAAAATATATATTTTTCATAAAGATAACTAGATAAAATCATTAGATATGTTTCTGAGTATCTGAAATGGAATTATAAGGATATCGTTAGGGTGTCCATTTTTTATAACCAGGAAATGTCAGTAATCGCGATAATTTAAAAACTCAACTTTTTAACACATAACACGCGATAAATCAAGAACCATTTTAGATATTGAAACTTTTTTTAATATGAAGTACGAATCTTTTACAAGATGTTTAAATAAGAAAAATTCGATAGGCTTGTTTTTTTACATTCAAAATTTTTAAAAAATCCATCCATTTACTTTTAGCGCATAGCAATTTTCAGCAACAGTGTAACTTTTTTATTTATAAAGATTTTCACATACTGTCTGCAAAGAAAATATAGCAGAAATATTAAGAAAGTTTGTGAAAAAAAAAACTACAGTCAATTATTTCTAATGGATTTCGAGATATCGAATTTTAATTCAGAGTTAATAACGCGACCACTGTCGAATACCAACTCAATTCCATTTATTTTTACCAAAAATACAAGTATTTCTAACTCGCACTTAAAAATTTACAAGCTATAGGAAAAATTAGAACGACTCGTTAATAAATAAACAAATAAAGTATCATGAGACGTAATTAAATCATGAAGCTGAACGCATGATGCAACACCCTTCCCTAGAATTTTAAGTACTGATTGGGTCGATCGGACCCATATATCGGATCCATTACCCATGGTCGACCGCGATGAATCTGCTATATCCCCTTCCACCTCTCTTAGCAATGTACACAGTTTCTCGGTTTATTTCATACGTTTGGCAACGTTTTTACTGTTTTTTTTTCTCTCTTTGTTCAGTACATTATAGATGCACTGTACTCTTTTTACTAGTAATGGGATAACTCGAGCGAAAATTCGCTCGAGTACTCGATTATTGAAATAACCGACATCGCTCGATTATAATCGAGCGATGCAAGTGACGAGTACCAAGCGACGAACGCAAGCGATCCTAGAATGAAATAAATTGAAATCCGATTTTAATGTGACATACTCGATAAAAAGCCGAGCGAATTCTCTACATACATTGCAGGTAGCAAATTTATACGACGCCGTATATACCAGGTGCGTCTCAAAAGTGGCTCACTATATACACTCCTATAACTTTCTTATTTTTTTAGATAAAAAAATGAGATTTGGTATGTTAGTATATGACAAAAATTAGGATTGTTTGACATATTCAATTGTTTTCTGTCACTTCCTGTTTCACCGGAAATTACTACAATTTTTGATTTTTAAATGGCACACTCGGTATTTTTTTTACTTTATTCGATAGAAAAAGACATTCTAAATAGAATGACGTATCATATGTCAACTTTTGACATATTCGCTCAAAAACAAATTGTATTTTAAATTTCAATCTAGAGTGCCATGGCTGTGTTAAACTAATTTTTAATCAAGGAGCCTTGGAAAAATAGATTTGATCATCTAATGTTTTTAGTGTCTTGCCCTGGCCGGTTTAAAAGATGCCCAAATCGTATTTTTGATCATATCTCAATTTTTTTTAAATGGAACGAGGGTGGCTCATTAGCATATTTCGAAAAAGATTTTTTTTACAAATAATTTGATACCACACACTTGGTACTTCGAGTCAAATTGTCGTTATGAACCGCATGTTACAATTTCAAATAAACCATATGCGAAAATGTCAAAAGTTGACATGTGATATGTCATTCTATTCAGAGTATCATGTTCTACCGAATAAAGTAAAAAAATACCGAGGGTACCATTTAAAAATCAAAAGCTGTAATCATTTCCGGTGTAACCGGAAGTGACCGAAAACAATTGAATATGTCAATTAATCCTAATTTATGTTATATACTAACATACCAAATCTCGTTTTATCTGAAAAAAATAAAAAAGTTATAGGGGTGAGCCACTTTTGAGACGCACCCGGTATATTTATCCGTTGCGTATCTGAGGTACAAAATTTTACGACCTACATCGACAATGCATCGAAATAAACTAAATCAAGCGAACAAGCGAATCGCTCGCCGCTTACTACTTGCCGTTCATTACCGAAAGAATATGTACCCTGCGCACGCAACTTACTGCTTGGCGCTTGGCGTTAACGAGTACTTACAACATGCGATGGGTGAAAAGCGAATTTTTAAATACGAGTAATATTTCGCTCGTGTAATCACTCGATTATTGCAATCGCTTGATACTCGAGTACTCGATTATTGAAATTAATCGGTTTTTCCTATCACTACTTTTACATATGGAAATCTCGGCCCAAGACTAACCTTTGCCAGCCCTTAGTATGGGTAAATCTACAAAAACCGTGTGATCAAAAAGTTATGTAATCAAGCAACATTTTGCTGCTGACTGATACAAGATAGGATAAGAATAAAGCCTCATACCACTATGTGTTCCATGAGGTTCGTCAGTTCGTCTTGTAGCCCCATAGTCACTATACGTCGATGCGTAAATTTTATGTGACAATGCGTCGATTCAATGTGTTGTGCCACAATTCGGCAAGAACTCGCTTTTATGGACGAACCATCAAAAGAAAGATTACGAACACAATGGACGAATTTGAAACGAACTAAAAAATCGTATATGGGAAATTAAAACAACTTTCGTTGCACGTCATCAATGACACCATGCGTCGTCTTATGGAGTTTGGTGGTGGTCGTATTATGATGTGCAACCAAAGTTATTTTATTTTCCCTTATACAAACCCATTACGAATTAACGCATAATGACATGGATTGACAAACCACATCGATGGATCGCATCGACGAACTGCCTCATACTCACTATGCGCGCATCGATCCATACCGGGTATATCTCAAAAGCGACACACCCCTATAACTTTTTTATTTTTTTTTTAAATAAAAAAACGAGATTTCGTCGGTGAAACGTGATAAACTGCTAACTCCATTATTCCTAATTTTACAGGAGAGCAAAAAAACGGTACAAAAAAATATGTACAGAGTGGGTCAAATTCGACGCTTTTCAATGGAGATACACAGCCTTTTCTATAGGAGATAGACGAAAACTAATATCGGTGTCTGGAGCTCAATTTTCATCAAAAACATGATGGTGAAAACCGCACATCAATATCTGTTACCGTTTCGAAGTTACGAGGTGTTTTTCAAAAATGTGCATTTTTAACAAATCGCTGTAACTTTTTTGCTATGGAAAATTTTGTATTTGTATGAAAACATTTCCAAAGCACCTTTTTACGTAGAATTTAATGGTTTAAGTATAATTTTTTTAAAATTAATAATTTAAGAGTTATCAACAGAATAATTTATTTTTTATTTGGGACACCCTCTATATTTTTAATTAACTGAAAAGAATTTAAAATTACCTTTCCAAAAATATAGCACATTTGATATTTTGTTATAATCCCCTTCGAAATACAGAATTTTTAAAAGTTTGCCGCTTTTAACTAGTAGGTAATGGAACTCGAAAACATATTTTTCCAGCAAGACGACGCACCGCCTCTGAACGCTCAAGTTATCAGCAAATTTTTGCAGCCAATTTCAAGAATAATTGAATAGCTAACCAAGATCCCAGCGGCTGGCCGTCGAGGCCGCCTGACTTAGTGCCCATGGATCTAATCCTATGGATATATTTGCGGTAGAATAAAGGTTCCTTATTCTTCCGTATAATCTAGACAAGAATTAGAAATACTTAGCAGTTATGAGAGGGTATCTTTCACCCACACTGAGTTAATGAATTCCGCGAGAAATGTTCAAAAACTGCCCCGTCTGTCCATAACAGAAGACGGTCGATATGTCGAACACCTGTAGCAAAATCTCATGTTTTGGTTTGCTATTTATTTTTATTGTTATTAGATATAGTTTAAATGTGTTGATGTTGGTTAAATATATTTTAAATTGTTATAAAATTCTGCATCTCTCATAGCAAATATTATTTTCGTTTTAATTGATGCTCACAGCTAGATTTTTTATGCATTACAGCCGGTGCCGTTCAACCAAACCAAACCAAACAAAATTTTCTATAGCAAAAAGTTACAGCGATTTGTTAAAAATGCATATTTTTGAAAAACACCCCGTAACTCCGAAACGGTAACAGATATCGATATGCGGTTTTCACCATCATGTTTTTGACAAAAATTGAGCTCCAGACACCGATATTAGTTTTTGTCTATCTCCTATAGAAAAGGGTGTTTCCATTTAAAAGCATCGAATTTGACCCACCCTGTACACATGTAGGAAATATTTTCATGCGTTAATATGATAAAGAGATAAGAATTTTATTTGCTGGGGAACAATAAAACTCAATATTTCGTGTTACATCATTTTTTCACACACAGTAGGAAGATAGCAGATATTCGTCTTGCAGAAATAAGAAATAAAAATATACTTCTGGAGGGAGCTACCTTTATTGATTGAAATTTTGAAAATGGAATTGAATATTACCCAAACAGATTTAGAAATAATCAAATAAATTTAAAAAAATATGATATAACCATATATTTATTATATATATTCGGTCTAGAAGCAAAACATATACAAGTCCAAAAACGAATAAATTTTTAATGCGTTTTTAAAGAACTGAAGTAGCAACATTTTGGACTTAATGCATATGAAAATAATTTAAAAATCAAACTTATAAATTATTAGAAGATATGGTAGAATCCTTTCATGCTTATCCTAATTTTTATACAACGGTAGTAGACCGAGCTTGGAAAACAGAACATTAAATTTTATTACTTTACTCCTTATTTTATAATTTTTATAAAAATTATGTATCATTTACGCGGAAAAATGTTGAAAAAAATAAAACTGATTAGGTCTTATGGAAATTCTTGTACAAGTAATGTTATTTAAAGTATTTATAGCACGCCGATGAATTGCTCGTATATAGAAAAGTAAAGATTTCAGTTAACGTCTCCTTTTTGCTGCCAGAGCTAATCTGGACTGGGTCTACTTTGTTTACGCGGAATCCGAACCGCGGTCCTCGGCCATATCATGGACAATGGCCTACCGACTTGGCAAGTGTCTAAATCGACTCTTACTCACGAGATATCCGATCTCATCCGGCCTCGAACCGGCGTGAATGAGCAGTGTGTGTCAATAGATTTTACACTTTTGCCTTTTTTTTTGCACAACAGCACGATACAGAGTTTCGAACCGGTCACCCGTCCATCCACTAGTATCGCCTTACGTCGTTTAACTTCGGTGTTCTAATGGGAACCGGTGTTTCGAAGTAGCTAGGCTGTGTCCCCTGCTCGTATATAGAGAATTTCGTTTTTCCCCTTACCCTTTACGGATACTCCGTATTTACAGAACGGGTCGACGCAGGGTCGGACTGGCCATATTATATATTTATATAACTATTGGGGGGCCCCAGCCTTCGCGGGCCCCCTTTATAGTTCATTATTTATTCTTAACAATATTTGCTTTTGCATTGCTTTATGGCATTTGCATTGCATTGGTTTACCTTGCATTAGGGTAGTTCCCTGATTTCTATACAGGGTAAGACAAATAAGTGCCAATATTTTCAGGGCTAATTTTCTTTTTAGGGAATATTTTCTCTTTACCGTTTTTCAAATAAATCCAAAACAACCGAGTTATTTCACTTTTAAAATTTCCAATTTTTTGCTATAATTTAGAGAATCATTGGATTTTCTTTCTTGTAAATTTAATCTACTACCTATGTTGCCATATTACAAACAAAGTATGTTTTTAAACTAAAAATTAAAACATTTCCAAATTTTTTTTTTAAATTCCAAATTTCTAAAAAAAAATTCGCGCAAAAAACCTCATAATCGTGTTTCTTGGGTCGAAATATACTACCCCTAAAAATATTTGCACTTATTTAAGACTCACCCTGTATATAATAGAGAAAATTTGACCAAAACGTAGGGCGAAAAAATTTGTAAAAAAATACACACGGCTCCTCCTTACATTGCCACCCGGGCCCCTTTGGCATAGTGCGACCCTGGATCGACGTATTGTACTAAAGAAACATACAAGTAAGAATCCGTCTGTTTGCTTTAGCGTGATCGTAACGAAAATTACGGAGATAGCAGCATTTCGGTGGCTATTTCAGATCACTGGGAGTTAGCAGATTTTATTGAGTTTAAATAGCAAATTTTCTTTAATGGGAAAAAATGTATTTGCTTTCCCTACTTATAGAGTATTTTTTTCTCTTTCTAATGGTGTAAAAAAAGTTATTAACATAAAAAATGGAGTTAGCAGGTTATCACGTTTCACTGACGATTTGGTATGCTAGTATATGACATAAATGAGGAATGAGTGACGTATTCAATTATTTTCCTTTCCTTCCTGTTTCAACGGAAATTACTACAACTTTTGATTTTTAAATGGTATCCTCGGTATTTTTTTACTTTATTTAATAGAACTAGAGTGCTCGGATCCTTACATACATAAATCAATCACTACACTTGTACATTTTTAAATAGTTTAACTCAAACAATTATTTAAGTTAGTTAATACTTACATAAAGATGCAGCTTGACTAATATCGTCTTTCTGTAAGACAAATGCTAATAATGGTCTTATAATTTCCTTAATAGTAAATCCACTATTTCGAAACTTAGTAACTAATAAATTGGTATTGTTCCAATTACAAAAAGGAAAAATAAAGTTTATAAATGTTTCGGAATCTGGCTTCATGTTATAATCGTTCATTCGTAGTAAAGTATAAAATATCCCTAAAAATTATTATATATATTAGATAGAAGTATTACTTTCCTATAGTACGATTACCATTTTCACCATCATTATTTCCATAGTGAATGAATAAAGGCCAAAAATAATGGATTCTCAAAATTTTTAACGATTTAAATAGCGCCCATGATTCATCTAAATATCCTAATTCTAAGGTGAGCACTGTTAATTTCTCCAAAATAAGCGTATTTAAATCCTTCTCTACTAAGTTTTGCGCCAGCCTTATAATGATTTCAATATTCTGAAATTAAATTAATAGTTAGAACTATTTAAATATCCTTTAATCTAGTTCTCTATTTACTGATAGCTTTTTTAAATGAATAAAAGCTTTTTTAAATGAATAAAGCAGTGGACTAACTCAAATTCACGCAACGAAGGAGAGAGATATAGTAGAGCCGGGAGGCAACTACTTTTTTTCTTTTTTAGTTTTTAACAGCAATTGCTCTGTTTTTTGGAACCTGTTTAAATTTTAGTGTGCAACAAGTAGCTGGCTCGGTCGATTGACAATTTTGTCTCATGCTTTCATATGGTAGAATGCAGAATGAGTGGAAAGCGGTTAATCACCGCAAACTTGAAGTGTGTGTGTCTCTCTATTGTGTCCCTTTTCTTGAGTTATAACTAACTCATCATGCATGGGGATCTTCCGTTGTAGGGAAGACAGGGTATTTCGCATCCTCCTGTGACAACAGCTGTTCATCCTTCGACGGTTGGAGTTTAGCCCTCCGTGCCTTTCACAGTCAAGAAGCTTGTCTCCAGCTGAGGTACCCTTGAGGTGGAGGCTAGAGGATCGGTCTCTATTTCTCCATCTCTTTAACTTGGTCTCTCCTTAGACCTGATACCGGTGTTGTCCGGGGTCTATAATAGAGGATATATTTCTCTTTCTCTATTGCCTCCTTGAATTTGAGGTCAACTATTGTGCGGACCTGACTTTGGCCCTCTTCCCTCGAGTTACACCGCAAGGGTTAGTCGGTCCACTTCTACAGAGCCCCGCATGTAGAAGTAAGCGAGACGGGAATACAACGGGTTGCCCCCTGGTGCCCCAAGGTTGAGACCAGTACAGGCTAGTTTTCTATTTGGTCACGCATCCCTTTGACCTGTACATCCCGCCATAGTAGGATTTTTACGTAGTAGTTACGTTAGTACACGTTCTAAAAAGAACAATATTCGACTGCAAGGTCTGCTACTAAACATTTTCAAGCTTAAAGTATACCAACACTATTTATTTAAACCAAAAACTCGTAATACAAAACTAAAGTGTCAAAACGAATAACAATGTCAGGAAATAAATAAATAAACCTAACCAAACTTGACATATTTTACAGCGGAGCTACCACCTGAATCCTCAGCGCGAAATTTAAATTCCAGTTAGTCAGCACGGCGCCATGGTTGGCAACAATGAATTTAAAAATCGCGCAGTCGATTACGTAACTAAAAGTTTAATTGATATGAAATATATATGTATAGTCTCTCCAATAGCGGCAAATGAGTCTGTCATTTTAATTCACACGTAAACTGCATTGAACATACTGTTACGTTTTTTCGTCGGTTCCGTGTGGATAGAAAGTCACAATTTATTTAAATACTATTTATTTAACACTAATTAACAAAAACAATAACGATAAAAGACTTATAGAACTATTTACAAACGATTTTATAACTAAGAATTTATTTCGAATTTTAGCGCGTCAACTGCACTGGTATATTTATTACTGCCCCCTGTAGGCCACAGCCGCCGGCTTTTATACCGACAGGTAAAGAACTCTAGAATAGTCCATAGATCGTTAGGTGCGTAGAGAAAGTTTTCGAATGTTCTCGTATGTACTAGTCCATTCTAGTGGGACTCGATTCTTCTCGAACGAATGAATCATTACAGTGTCTATTCTTTAATGCGATGTTAAGGTCATCTGAGGGCGGGACATATAGTTAGGTTAGGTCGAGTCCACACGGGTCCGCAACACTGCCCCCTTCTTAGGCACATGCTCGTCCCGAGATGTACACGGTGAATGAAGGTATTTGCAAAGCTGGCCCCTGGTACATTGCGAAGTCTGGTAGAAATAGCAGTCTACAGTTTTTCTCCCGATCTCAGCTTTGGGTTGTAGCAGCAAACGAGGATCTCGATTCCCGTAAATCTGAACAAGACTTCAATCATGTTCCGGATTGTACGCCAACTCAAACCATCGAGTCCACACGCCAGCTTCGGAATGGCTAATCGTGCAATGTTGTTGTTTAGCAGGGCTTCTCTCAGTTCAATCAGGGTCTTCCATAGATTGAGATAAGTCGGCTTACTCGGGGACCATTCCTTGGTGACCAGGTAGAAGATGTGCCTTGCTTGACCATGTGCATTGTCGGTTAGCCTCAAGACGCTTCCAACCTCTGGATCCTGTCGGCGTAGTTCTCCGACACGCCCAAACTTCTCATTGAACGTCGCAGCGATTCCTCTGGACATCCGCAAATCTCGAGCCACACAATGAGCGAGCGAATAATCAGGAGGCACGGAAAAGAGGTCTCGTTGATCTTCTTTGGTTACACCATAGCGAGCCTTCTCACTGCTGTTGTATCGGGCCATGAAATCGTCAAAGGACATCTCCGAATCAGGGGGATCAAAGCTGCAGGTTCTCACGGTCCCAGCACGATCTTCTATTTCGCCTTGGTAGGGGCTCAAACGGTTGAAATGGACTACCCTCGGTTTTCCTTTTGGCAATTTTCTGATACGGTATACGACGTCATTAATTCTATCCATGACTTCGTATGGCCCTTCCCACGAGGATTGTAGCTTCGGAGATAACCCACGACGTCTCTGCGGGTTATATAGCCACACCAACTTCCCTGGTTGGTATCCTCCATGCTCAGCTTGAATGTCGTAGTGTTCCTTCATTCGGTCACTAGCACTTTGAATATTTAGGCGGACTCTCTGATGAATGTCGTCCATCCTTTGACGTAGTGTGTGGACATAATCTTCTCCGGCGACTTCTTCTCCCGGTCGGCAACCAAATTTCAGATCACAGGGTAGGCGCACTTCCCGTCCCATAACGATGCTGGCTGGAGTTTGCCCTGTAGATTCTTGGACGGATGAACGGTAGGCCAACAGGAACAGGTGAAGAAATTTGTCCCAGTCTCTTTGGTGGTCAGAGACTACTTTGGCCAGATAACGGTTGATAGTTCTGTTCATGCGTTCAACCATCCCATCGGATTGTGGATGTAGAGCAGTCGTCCTGGTCTTGCGGATGTTCAGGACTTCACAGACGCCTTGGAACAGATTGGACTCAAAGTTTCTTCCCTGATCTGAATGAAGCTCCATGGGAACACCAAACCTGCAGATCCATTCTTTAACAAGGGCATCAGCAATCGTGGACGCTTCTTGATTTGGCAACGCGTAGGCCTCGACCCATTTGCTGAAGTAATCCATTACTACCACAATGTATTTGTTGCCATCGTTCGTCTCCGGGAAAGGACCAGCCACGTCGATCGCTATTCGTTCGAAGGGACTACCAACATTGTACTGGCGCATAGGGGCTTTACCACGCTTTTGTGGCCCATTAATGGCTGCGCAAATGTCACATTTCTTACACCAGGCCCTCACATCTTCTTTGCAGTTCACCCAGTAGAACCGTTCACGCAGCTTGCCAAGTGTCTTGGTAACACCAAGATGTCCACCGCTGGTTCCATTGTGAACTTCCTCCAAGACTTCTGGGACCCTCTTCTTTGGAATGACGATCTGCCTTCTCTCTTCTTGTCCCTCCGGTCTCTCGATCACACGGCGAAGTAGTACGTTATCTATTACCAAGGAATTCCACTGAGCCCAGTACGACTTTACGTTCGGCGAATATCTGCAAACTTCTTCCCACGTTGGTCTTTGGCCTGTGTTTTTCCAGTTAATTACTAAACCTAATTCTGGGTCACTGGTTTGGTCATTTGCAAGATCTTCGGGTTGCCAACTATCACTACCCACAGTTGTTCTTAGGAGTTTCACTTCTTTCTCTTCTGCTCGGGAACAATGCTTACAGTCCTTAGCGCAAGGTCTTCTGGAAAGTGCGTCGGCATTCCGATGGATTGCCCCAGCTCAATGTTCTGTGTCGAAGTCAAATTCTTGTAATCGTTCAATCCATCTAGCTACCGGCCCTTCAGGATTCTTAAACTGCAACAGTCATTTCAAAGCAGCATGGTCTGTTCTTAACAAGAACTTTCTTCCACAGAGATACTTGTAGAAGTGTTCCACTGCTTTAACTACTGCTAGTAATTCTCGTCTGGTTACACAGTAGTTCCTTTCCGGTTTTGACAAGGTCTTACTAAAATAACCAATGACTTGTTCTTGACCATCCTGGATCTGAGACAGAACAGCGCCTAACGCAACATTGCTAGCGTCGGTATCCAATATAAAGTTTCCGTTGCCAAGAGGGTAGCTAAGTATGGGCGCACTAGTCAGGGCTTTCTTCAATTTTCGGAATGCCTCGTCAGAATCTGAGTCCCAAGAGAAACGCCTCTCGCCTTCGGTAAGTCTGGTCAATGGTTTTGCGATAGTGGCGAAACCCTATACATAGCGGCGATAGTATGTGCATAGTCCCAAAAAGCTTCGTAGTTCATGTTTATCTTTAGGTATTGGCCACTCTTCCACTGTCTTGGTCTTCTGTGGATCTACCGCAACTCCTTGGGAGGAGACTACATGTCCCAAGTAGTGTACCTTTTCTTGACACAGATGACATTTCTTGGGGCTAAGTTTCAAACCAGAACTCCCTAGTCGCTTGAAAACTTCTTCCAAATTCTTCAGATGATGGTCAAAGGATTTCCCAACCACTATGATGTCATCCAGGTACACTAAACAGGTAGTCCAGGATAGTCCCTTTAACACAGACTCCATTAGTCTCTCAAAGGTAGCTGGCGCGTTGCACAATCCAAAAGGCATGACGGTAAATTGCCACAGTCCGGAGCCCACCGAGAACGCTGTCTTCTCTCTGTCTTTCGGCGCCATGTCGACTTGCCAATATCCACTCTTCAGATCTAACGTAGAGAATATCGTTGACCCCGCCAGTGTGTCTAGAGTATCGTCTATCCTCGGCAGGGGATAGCTATCCTTCTTGGTAACATTATTGAGCTGCCGATAATCAACACAGAACCTGGTGGTACCGTCTTTCTTCTTTACTAGTACTACCGGCGATGTCCACGGGCTGTTAGATGGTTCGATGACACCCTCTTCTTTCATTTCTCGAAGGATTTTATCAGCTTCTTCACGTTTGGCGAGCGGAAGTCTTCTCGGATTTTGTTTGATTGGTCGTGCATCTCCTTCCAACAGCGATCCCCCGTCCTATTTCGCTGTCATGGTTCCTTGGCTCCAACAGAATAATACTCCCATTCCAGTACCTTCCAGGCAACCATCCAAAAATATCTCACAGCGCTCAGGGATCGAAACATCTTCTGCTACTACCACGCGAAGCGTCTCCTCACATTTTCGATGCAGAACCACTTCTTCTTCATTTATTTTCAAAATTCCTTGTTTGAGGTTTAGCTCAAAACCTCTAGTGGTCATGATGTCCATTCCGAGAACAAGTTCATCTTCGATGTCTGCTACTAACACTCGATAATTAAAACAGGTGCTTCCGATAACAAAATTAAGATCTACCTCTCCATGGATGAGAGCGGAGCTTCCTGTAGCTGTACGTAGTCGCCATTGTGTTGTTTTAATCCTTTTTGATGTTTTAAGGATATCCGGCCTCATGATCGTTTTGGTCGCACCCGTATCCAAAAGCATGGTCCGTAACTCTCCATCCACGAAACCATCCACAAAAATGCTGTTGAACTTGTGTTGTAGCGAGGCGACTTGAGCAGTTTTCGTTGGGGCATGTTGGGTACAGGTCGACGTGTGCCCCTTCATTTCGACCCTCAGTAGTTTTCCGACCTCGATGAAGCCGGTTCTTCGTTCTTCTCCTTACAACGGCTTCGCACGTGTCCTACCTGTCAACAATTCCAGCAATCGAATCGGTCCCTTCTTGCCCATGTACTGGTCCAGTACCTTCCGAACAATCCCTTCCACGGATTCGTCGGAACATTCGTCGATGGCACGTACTTTTCCTAAAGACCGAGAACTTTGTTTCGCGGCCTCAAATTCTAGGGCACGTGCTAAAGCATCCACCAAGTACGTTGGGTGGGCTAGGAGAAGTGCTTGTCTTGTCTCGTTGTCACGTAAGCCGTCGGAGAATGCCTGTACTGCCAACCGCTCCATAACATTCTCTGGCGTAGCAGGGTACGCAAGGCGAACGAGGCGGGCTACGTCGGCTTCAAACTCCTGCAGAGACTCATTTGACTTTTGAATGCGATTTTTTAGCTGGGAATGATAGACATGTTCCAAATGAGCTTGGCCGTACCTTATTTCTAAATGTCGTACCAATTGCTGATAATCTCCCTGTTCCGATGGTAACAGTGTCTGCAGGATATCAGTCGCATCTCCCCGCAGTGCGATAGTCAAAGCGGTAGCTTTTTCAGCGATTGTCTGTTATCTTTTCTTCTAAATTAATTATTTTATTATTAAAGCTGGCCTGTATGTCTTTAGAATTTTCTGCGATCTTATCTTCCAAAATATTAATTTTATCACTGATTTTCTCTTCTAAATTAACTTCCAAGTCAATTATTTTACTATTTAAACTATTCAAATTGTCGTTTAAATTGTCTTGTAAATTTTTCAATGACGAGTCAAGGTCACCTTCCAACTCGAAGTAAAATGTGTCAGGATCCTCACCTTCCTCCACCAAAACGTCTCTCAGTCTAGCTTGCAAAATGCTTTTCTTTCCATCTGTCTCGCACTCTCTCTCTTCCAATATGCATTTCAGTTCGGACACTTTCAAGTTTTTCAACAATTTTTTCGAAGTCATTGTCAGTCTTATTTATTTTTTTTTCTAGTCTATCACACACGCCACACTTGACACCAATTGTTACGTTTTTCGTCGGTTCCGTGTGGATAGAAAGTCACAATTTATTTAAACACTATTTATTTAACACTAATTAACAAAAACAATAACGATAAAAGACTTATAGAACTATTTACAAACGATTTATAACTAAGAATTTATTTTGAATTTTAGCGCGTCAACTGCACTGGTATATTTATAACTGCCCCCTGTAGGCCACAGCCGCCGGCTTTTATACCGACAGGTAAAGAACTCTAGATAAGTTTATAGATCGTTACGTGCGTAGAGAAGGTTTTTGAATGTTCTCGTATGTACTAGTCCATTCCAGTGGGACTCGATTCTTCTCGAACGAATGAATCATTACAGTGTCTATTCTTTAATGCGATGTTAAGGTCATCTGAGGGCGGGACATATAGTTAGGTTAGGTCGAGTCCACACGGGTCCGCAACAATACATTATTTTCCTTTACAATTTTTTTTCTCGAATATATTCTAAATGTTTTCGACAATCTTAATTAAATTTAATAGTTGTGAAGACATATCAGTAATAAATCTCGCATATTTTAAATGTTCTAACGTTCTCAGATCAAGAACCATTACAAATTTATTTGTGATGGTTCTCGGCCAACAATTGGATGGATCAAAAATTATCACCAAACACAAACCTCGCTATTTAAAAGCTGTACTAGACAATTGATATTCCTAGTAGACTATATACATGGTACAAAGAATACAAGGTATGATCGATAGCGGCTCCAATTTCGTTCAGTTCGCGCATACCACCTGTGACGTCACTAGGAAAATGAGGAATAAATAAAAAATAAAGAAAGTTGACAGGAGATCTGCATTTTTTGGGGTTATGGTTAAGAATTGTTTATTTTTAAGACTTTTTAGTTCGTTTAATTTAATAATTACTAAAACATTGTTAATCTAAGACTAAAACCAGCAGTTCCAAAAAAATATATTTAAAAATAATAATTATCTATTAACATGGATTTGGACTTTGGACCATAATAGGGTAAGAATACTAAATTTATTTCTATATTCGGTACCTATAAAATTGTTTATTAGGTTTTTAGTTTGCGATGTTTATGGTAAATAATTTTCATGTTCATTGCCTCTGATTTCACATGAGGACAGAGATGAGGATATATATGGAAAAGTAACCACAAGAGGAATTGTATCATTTAAAAAATGTTGGGAATTTTATTGTTTCCCATCGAAAAGTAGAAAATGCCAATGCAGATGAATGTATTGTAATTGTGATAGAAGTAATTCCAAGGGTGAAGTTTATTATAATTAGTGACCTGTGCTTCTTTTTATATGTAGATGTTTCATGTTTTGAGAATAAATCCGTTGAACGACACCCAAAATTTAGAGGAAGTATTTGCATACCCAGAATATGCCCATCAAAGATTATATAGCTCAAATTTCCTTTAATGGTAGGCAATTATTCAATGCAAATTAACTTTTTAAGTGACTGAAATATTAAATAGTTTACAATATGGTATATCATTAAAAATATATTACTTTTAGGTACAATTAGGGCCTGATACATTTCAAAAAGTAGAATATTATTTTATATTAAATGAGGTATTGTACCAACAGTCAATTTATATTAATACCGGAGATGAAAAAATAACAGAATAAATAGTTCTTTTTTTATACTACAAAAATAAACTATAGAATACAACAGTATTTAAAAAAATAAATAAAAAGTTATGTCCCGGCCGAGATTCGAACTCCGGTCTCTCGCTTCCTAGCCCAACTCCTTACGCACTGCTCCACAGTAACTTGCTTAGCGATAATTCAATGACGGTATATAAACAAAAAAAAACAGGTTTATAACAATACCTTGACGATTTGAACTGGCGCGCGGAGCGTGCTGACCAATAGCGCCTGGTATCACCTGTGACGTAGCGACCAACCTGCGCAATATCATACCTTGTATTCTTTGTACCATGGACGATATATATATATATATATATATATATATATATATATATATATATATATATATATATATATATATATTGTGAATATAAATATTACTGCTTAAAAATTTAACCAATATAATAAAATCACTAAACAATAGAAAGTTGCAAATATTAGTTTTATTGAAACATACCACGCGACAATGTAACATTTCCTTTAAAATACTGTGGCCATAAGAAACTTCCGGATACGGTGTAACATATGTTTCATAGATTTTCATGGCTGATTCTGGCTGGCACATATGAATTAAATATATACATATTTTCTCTATCTTTGCTTGTAATTCTCTTGAAAATATAATATTATTATAAAATTTGTTAATCTACAAAAAATAGCATATAATAATAGATACATTTATTTAATAGATATTCTACCAACCTCAAAAAAAATATCTTCATTGCCTACAAGACCAAATTCTAGTAAAATTTTTAAAAAATCATCTTCTGTGAATTCAAAATCAAATCTTTCTATAGCTTTTTTTAGGTCATTCAAATCCTTTCTTCTAATTAAGCCCTTTAATATTGATATTTTTGTTGTATTATTTTCTAATATTTGTGCCGATCTCATTGTATTCAATACAGTATCGGTAGCTTCTAAACCACTGTTAATTAAAAATATAATAATTTTATTTATTAAATAATCTAGAGTGTATCCAGGAATATAACACATATATGGATTTTTTTTTATTTTAAATTTCTCAGAAATTTTTATTTTCAAACTCCAAATAAACTACTCATTATTGAAGCATTTCGTTTCGGTTAAGCTTCAACCACAGATCATACAGATTATAAACTTTGTTTTTTCTTTATTGTTTTTCGTGGTTCCAATTTTCGGAATCGGGCACTAGTTAGGTTACTAGTTTGCGCACATAGCACGCCCACTTATGGCATGTAAAACTGTGCACAGCGCCTGACCGGCACGGTTATTAGAGAGATATCGGAAAACCGAATAGCGTCATGCAGTATTTACGCGTACCTTATCATGGTTACGATATGCGCGAGTCAATTTTTAACGCAACACCCGCTAATAACGTTACCGCCTGACGTAATTTGCGGATCAATTACACCAAGCGCTATTTCTAAATAACGTTTAAAAATTGCTTAAATGGGCATGTGCGGGTATTTGACAACCGGAGCCGGCCGGCGAGATCTTTTATTTTAGGTTATGTTTGAATTGTTTTGAATTATTACTTTAGTTTTATTAGGTAATTTGATATTTAAGTAGCTGGGATTAGTTTTAATTAAATAAATATGGCCCAAAATATGGATTCCACCTCTTCCAATATTAAAGAACCTATAAAGAGGCTAAGGTTTACAGCAGATGACGACTTAACCCTTCTAAGAGAATTTGTTGCTTGTTGCCCTAAACCCACCAGCAGACGTTGAACAATAAAGCACTGGAAATAAGAACTTTAGCCCTTTAGTTTTAAAATACCTAGTAAACAAAACAATTTCAAAGTTTTAAATTGAAAGTTAGGTTAAGTTTAAATAGCGGACGCGACGCGAACAGAATTCTTTCTGATCCGATAACTATAAATGAAGAGAGTTAATAGCACCTCACGTAAAGGAAATAACACCTGACCTTATTAACGTCCATGCACGCTATTCGGTTTAGCGATATCTCTCTAGTACGCTGTTTATTGTTATTTTACACGAGTTTATTTTTGCGCACAAGAAATTTTACTCGTTTGCACATCGTCATAAAAAACAATTTTCGTACCACGAATTAGGGACAAGATTTTTATCTGTATACTTATAGGATAGCTAATCTGTGCTTCAACAATATAAAATTCGCTCAAGAGTAAAGTAGTAGTTTTTTTTAAATACGTAAAAAAGTTACTTAATAAGTTTTTTGAAACAAAAAGTAATATGACATTTAAAGCCACAGCTACCTACTGTGAAAAAATATTTTTAACTGTTTTTAATATTTTCTTACAACCCCGTATATCATCAATAGAATAGGTACCGACATATTTGAATGGAAATATTACCATATTTATCAATAATGCCAAAAATTATTTTTGAACCATTAACCGAATGGAAAATTAAATCACTTATTACAACTGAAATAATTTTTTGTCTCCTTTGTAGAAAAACGCAACAAATGTTAAAAATATTTAATAACAAAAAATTAATTATAAAGACACATGATATACATATACAGTGTAAGATAAAGTCCGCATCATATGGAACATTTTTTATTTATTGGCTTAGATGAAATTTGACTTTTTAGTTTCAAAATTTACTCTGTTGATCTCGAATAACTGTCGAATTTGATATTAAATGGCTAAAAACAGGCTTCCTGGCCAAATTTCGAAAAACTTTATTTAAAAAAGCTGTTTCTTTTTTAATTTTACATAAACATACTAATTTTCAGCCATATGGATTTTTCCTCATTTTTAACCAATAAATAGCAGCGGATTCTCGTGATAGAAACAAAAAGAACTGATAGGAACCCGTTTTTCATTCAAATATGTATTGATACTGATACATACTATATATTTAGTTCAATGTTTTAAATAAATTAATAGCTTTTTTTTATAAAAAGTTAAATTTTGTTGTAAAAATATTGGTTCTGTGATGCAAAATATATAATTCTTCCATATATCGAGGTAACATCATTTCTATATTTTTTTATCTCTAATTTCTCAATTTAAGTTTAGATTTTCTTTAAAAATCAGACCCACTATAGTAGTAACTTAGTTAAATAATTTTTACAATACTTTAATTTCAATTTGATCAAAGACCATATAGGGGCAGTATCTAACCAAACAATTCTATAAATCAGCTATAAAAATACATTTTTACATTTTTAGTATTGTGCAAATAAGTTCCCAGCACGTACCAATATAAATTTTGTGATGCTATCTCCATAAATGCGGAAGTTATTCATTCATACCGTGCATCACTTTTTGTCTAATCTTACAACTAAATTTATTTATTTAAAACATTTTAACATATTCAATAAATTTAACCGAATATATGACCGCCAATTAAATATTTAACTAACAAACGAACTATCATCAGTTATTTTTGCTTCTACCACTAGAATCGGCTGCTATTGGTTAAAAATTACATTTTATTTTTCATCTAGATGGCTGAAAATGACACTTAAACACTTAATAATAAAATTAATTAAGTATTTTAATTTTAATAAAATTAAAATACTTTAAAATACACAGTATAAGATTTAAAAAAAAACAACTTTTTAAAATAAAGGTTTTCGAAATTCTGCCTGAAAATCTACTTTTGAACCATTTGTTACTATACCCGGTGCGTCTCAAAAGTGGCTCACCCCTATAACTTTTTTATTTTTTCAGATAAAAAACGAGATTTGAGATGTGAGTATATGACCTAAATTAAGATTGTTTGACGTATTCAATTCTTTTCGGCCACTTCCTGTTTCACTGGAAATGACTACAACTTTTGATTTTTAAATGGCATCCTCGGTATATTTCTACTTTATTCGATAGAAAATGACACTCTGAATAGAATGACATATCATATGTCAATTTTGAACATTTTCGCATATGATTTATTAATTGTAACATGCGCATAACGACAATTTAACTCGAAATACCAAGTGTGTGATACCAAATTATTCGTAAAAAAATACTTTTTCCAAATATGCTAATGAACCCTGGTTCCATTTGAAAAAGTTGAGATATGATTAAAAATACGATTTGGGCATCTTTTAACCGGCCAGGACACAGACAGACGATCAAATCTATTTTTCCAAGGCCCCTTGATTAAAAATTAGTGTTTTTAACACATCCATGGCACTCTAGATTGAAATTTAAAATACAATTTGTTTTTAAGCAAAAATGTCAAAAGTTGACATATGATATGTCATTCTATTCAGAACGTCATTTTCTAACGAATAAAGTAGAAATATACCGAGAGTGCCATTTAAAAATCAAAAGTTGTAGTTATTTCCGGTGAAACAGGAAGTGACCAAAAACAATTGAATACGTCAATCAAACCTAATTTATGTCATATACTAACATAATAAATATCATTTTTTAATAGAAAAAATAAAAAAGTTATAGGGGTGAGCCACTTTCGAGACGCACCCGGTATATGTCAAATTTGACAGATTAAATTATTAAAACCCGAGGAAAACATGTAACGTTTTCAATTATATTATAAAAACTAGCGTGTACCAGCGACTTCGTTCGCGTCGAATTAATCATTTGTAATGGTGATGATAAAGCAAAGCAAGAATTTCTATTAACATATAAACTGGATAAAATTTTCTCACATTTATGTCAGCATGAGAAAAAACAATATGGTGATATTATTATATAACTTGGTAATATTTGAGGGGTAGTTTCATCTCGTTGGAATTTGACTTTCAAAAAAATCCGTTTGCCAAAAATAAGCTTTTTTACGTCAAGCAGTTTAAGAAGAATCGTGGTTAAGAAATTACCCAACGTTTTGGAACACCCTGTATGATTTTTTAAAAAATTTCAAAATATGTAAAAAAACCAAATAAATTATGCTTGTCCAAGCATTTTCCCGAAAGACTAACCGATTTTTAAATAACAAATATTGTAATATTTGAGGGGCGTTTTCACCCTCTTGGAATTTGAGATTCGAGAAACCCCTCCTTATCGAACCTCTACACCCCACAATCAATCCGTTTGCCAAAAATCAGGTTTAAACGTCAAGCAGTTTAAGCAGAATCGTGATTACTCAATGGTCATATTTTATGAAACACCCTGTATAAATTTATAAAAGATCTTAAAATATGTAAAACAACAAAATAAAATATGCGTGTATAAGATGTTTTCCCGAAAAACTCACCGGTTTTTAAATAAAAAATATTTTAATATTTGAGGGATAGTTTCACCCCCTTAGAATTCGAGTTTCGAAAAATCCCTTCTTATCGAACCTCTACACCCTAAAGTCAATCTGTTTTCCAAAAATCAACTTTTTACGTCAATCGCTTTAAGCAGGATCGTGATTAATCAATGGCCAGATTTTTCGAAACACCCTGTATACGTTTTTAAAAAATCTTAAAATATGTAAAAAAAAACAAAATAAAATATACGTGTTTAAGCGTTTTTTCGGAAACTTGGCCGTTTTTTAAATAAGAAATATTGTAATATTTGAGGGGTGGTTTCACCCTCTTGGAACTGGAATGTCGAAAAATCCCTTCTTATCGAACCTCTACACTCTAGAATCAACCTGTATGCCAAAATTGAGCTTCTTACGTTGAGTGGTTTGAGCAGGATCGTGATTAATCTGTATGTCAGTCACATAAGGATTTTATATATTAGTATAGATTCGTTCACGTACACGCTATTTCAGCTCGTATATGTCGGTTGTTTCCGGGATTTTCCGATGGTAGCAGCACCGGCGGAGAATACATCAAGCCTATAATGTATTGAATTAAAAGTTTTCCCTCATTATACATATATAAATATCCTAATATTTATTTTAATGACAAGAAAAGTAAACAAATATTTAAAGGATTTTATTTATCAATATTAGGATAACTTTTCCGATACTGTTGAATGAAATATAGTGTGCCCACTATATTTCGCTCGGATTTAATCTACGCTCAATCAAAACAATAGCTATAAATCTTTGCCATTAATTTTTTTGAGGTCGCACTTCGCACTCGGCTCATCAGCTAGTTCGATACTTTTGCTTGTACGTTTTGCGCTTACAAGCGGTTTTTTGATTACGTTTTTATAATATTTTTGATGAAAAAAAAACATATTCTCTGAGAGATATAGTCAAAGTGTAAATTCATTCAATAGTTTCATGTCTCTCACTGTTTCAATTTTAAATAACGACATTGGAGACTGATTTTTAAAAGTGTTCGCTTTAGGACTGTTTAGTCTCTGGAATGTATTTAAGGTGTGTATTGGCAACGTTGGTTTTTGTAAACCCGGCATAAAAATCAGTGCTGTAAAAAATATTTGGTCTTTTTAGGTGACTGTGACATCAAATATGACATCTACATTTTATGCCAAAAAAACATTTTAAGTAGCTTTTTACGTATTTTAAACTAGACAATTTTATTCAGACTGAAGCTGTCCTGTATAATGAAACCAAATACTTCAATATTGACTAGTTTATTTGGCATTTGAAGGGACACGATAGTTTTATCAAAATTAAGATTTTAATTTCTGAAAAATTTAAAAATAAAATCATCCATATGTGTATATTGTTAGACACACTGTATAAACAACTAGAAATACATACCATTTTAAAGCGTATCCCATAGCTAAGTTGTTAAACATAGTTATATCAACAGGCACGTTATTTTCTTTCATTAATTCCAAAATAGAATAAGCTTCTTCCAGTTTTCCCAACTGACAAGCATTTTCAATAAGTAATTTATATGTCTGGGAGTCTGGTTTACAACGTATTGAAAATAAAAAATCCTTATTTAAATAGGCATTATTCTCATTGCATGTTCTTATATAAGAATTGTAAACAGCAATATTCAGATTATTAACTTTATCTAGTCCATTAAAAATATCTTTACATAGTTTGTGTCGAACTTCAGAACTTGAATCTAAAATTTCAGAACCGCAACACTTCAATAATATTATGGCATCTTCTGATTTTAATTGATCTGAAATAAAAACATTTATTAGTCAAATAACCATCCAAACCATCTTTTAACCAAAAACCAACTAAAACGGAATAAAACGAAATTTTCAACATTTTGATATTTGAATGTAGGCGAAAAAAATCGTATCGCCATCTTACTATGTGAAATGACAAAAAATGTGGGTTAAAGATTATGAAAACCTAACGGCCCACTTCCTGAACTTTAAAATATCGTATAATATTAAGTATAATATTGCTATTAAAAAATATAACAACTACCAACTACATACTAATACAGTCTGTCCAACGACTCTGGGAAGATTTGGACAGACGACATCCAAAAAATTACAATTTTGACAATGACAATTATATTGATAAAAATAAATAACTTCCCTGTGAAAAGTGACAGACACAACTGTCACTGTCAGAGATCAACTGACAAAAAATCGGTATAGATAGAATAGTAATTCCTATATCACAGAAATAAGTTCGCAGTTATAAAAAATTGTTGAAGGTATGACGTGATGTAGGCTCTGAGTTTGGTACTCGATAAATTGGGAAAACCGAAAAAGTACTAGAAATAGTTATGGCCATGAATACACTGAAAGTGAGCAACTGAGTAATGCACTGCAGGAGACGGTTGTAGGGAGTGTGTAGTGGGTAGGAGTGTAAGTAGGTAGAAATCTAGAAATGTCGAATTTTCCCACCTCAGCGTCAAAAAGACCTGTGCTAATTGCTTGCTTCCGTTTCTTGGCATAAGGTAATAGAAGATTACGTATACGCATCTCGAAACTTTGAAATTGCCCTTATGTATAATACACTCGATATTCCATATGTATAGACCTAGGGCATTTCAACTGATTTCAACAGATTCCGACCGCAGCGCTTCAATCAACGACAGAAATTAGACATTATCAGTATGTATTTCACTCCGCCGTATGTTGATTGCATAAACATAATATGGAAATCGTGGCTTTATCATAATATTTAAGTATTTCAGTTTTTTTCTAGTGCAGTTATTCTGTTATTGAGACCATAAAACATTCTGGTATGAGATTAGTGTGCCGCTGTTTCGGATAGTAAAATATAAGTGAAAAAGAATTCGAACTAGGCGTCTTGTTGTGTAATGACAATTTCAAATGTTAATAAAATTGCCAAAAAAATGTTAACGCGTAAAGAAGAGCGTACATCTTCATCAGGGTGGGACTAAGGATTTGATATTGAGTATTTGATTAAAATGTGGGTCGATTTCGGCATAATTGGGGACGGGCTACAGGACGACGCCCTCGACGTTTCGAACCGATGCCTCTAAATGGACGAAATCATCAGGATTTTTCTTAATTATAGGTCAATTGGAACCAAAATCGGTACGTCGATAATGGTACCCGAATGGAGTTCTCAGACGGACAGATGGGCAGACGGACAGATGGGCAGACGGACAGACAGACGGAAGTAAGAAGTTTCACTTCAAATATGCGCACATAGTGCACACACATTTTTTTTCCAAAGCAGGCCTACAAAATATACAGGGAGTTCCAATATTCTGTGGACATAGAACATCTATGTATTTTTATTTGGACATAGAACATCTATGTATTTTTTTTTGGACATAGAACATCTATGTATATTTTACCCCTTATACAAAACTGCTTTGTTTTTCCGTTAAAGGGCATCAATAAAAAATAAACCCCTACGTTAATTAATGTAAAATTTATGAAGCTTATTGTTAGATACTACTTGTGATTGAAGCTGATATAAAATTCCATAACTATTTTTGCTAAATAGATTATTAATGCATACTGGAGTTTATGCGCCTATAGTACATAGCTTGATGTAACAAGAAACATTTTTTGGAAGTCAGCTCCGGAATTTTTTTTCCTCAAAAAGTATACATTGTGGCATTTTCTTAAAAGAAACAAAAATGTAGTAAATACTAGAAAGGTCATTCGACGAAAAAGAAAATAGGTACAAAAGTTGTCGGTTCAGTTCGAAAATTTTTGTACTAAAGTTTATGTAGGGATGGGGATAGTTTTCACCCTTTCAGTACTTTTTCTTGATTTTTGTCAAAAAAATAAAATATTAGAGCCCTTAGCAAAACATAGAAACATCAAATCTAGTTCAAATCGGAATATCTTTTCTTGAAATATCATAAAAAATGTGTTTATTTTTTTAAAGTTTGATTGCACCCTTCCTTCACCCTACATCCTTGCTTTTCACCCTTCCTGTACTTTTATATTAAAGCACTTGGCAAAACATAGACGCCCAAAATCTCATTCAAATTGGAATAACAGTTCTTAAATTATCTGAAAAATGTGTGTATCGTGTAACGTGTAGAGAGTCCATAATATGTAATGTTTTAAAATTTTTGAACTGCGTGCGTTGTAGCAATTTGGCGCTGCTATAGCGGTTGCCAAATACAAGTTGTATTGCTGCAAACAAGGACAGACAATATTTTTTTTTGTCAATGTCAGAATCTTCAAAAATTATAAAATCTTCCAAAATGTAAACCGCCTTCATTGAAAAAATACCGAAAAGTGTTTAAAGCGTCCTTTTTCCAAGTAATTATTGTTATCTTGGTTTTGAGTTTAGTCTAAATTTAATTTCCGCAAACCCGTGATATTGTGGAAAAGTGGCACAAAAAAAACTTAAAAAGCTGTTTTTGAACTATGAACTGTAAAAACTTAATAAATATTATAGACTCTGATTATTATGCTTATTTTTAGCTTCACACTGCTGTTTTTACATTTTTTTAATATATTCTATGTATTTCATACATATCCTTTAAAATAACTTTTCTTATATGCAACACACTGTATTTTATATATAAAATTAAAAGGAAATAATAATGAATTGAATAAATAGATAATATTTGACGACATAATTCCAGAAAATGCTGAACCGGCCCAAAATCAAAAGTTTTGGATCGCGTCCGCTGCAAAAACAACGCCAAATACTATTTAAATTGTTGTTATGGGCTCTCTTTTCAATCTAAACTTGTTTAATTTTTCTATGCTTTTACCTACTAATTGATTAGCACTCAAAATTAAATTTATTCAAACTCTTAATTACATGGTCTAGCATAAAAAATATAAAAGATATTCTGACAGGGAAATTATTGTACAAATATAACTTATATAATTAAAAGAGTGGTTGCAACATCCAGGCTCCATTTTAACAAATTTTGCGAGCGAAAACTGGCAGTTCCAGGAGCTGCCCAATTCTTGTTGCAAACCGAGAGCAAAGCAATTAATCATAAAATATCATTGTCATTTATGTACTGTTAAAAAAGAGATACCTGAATGTTGCAGAGAATGACCGGACTATTTTTTAAAGGTCAATTATTTTGTAAAAAAAGTGGAGCTGCCTGTTTATTTCACCTACCCCTTCATTTGTAACTCTGTCACTATTACAGGTAGGGGCTGCTGGACAATCGCCCGTTTAACAATAAAAAAAATCAGGTGTTCCATTTTCTATGCTGGTAAATGTACTTGCTATGTTTACTTACTAAAATCTATTGTATTAAATACATTAACCAGCTGTTTTAAATAGAATTCCTTTCCAGTTTTAATTCGCTGAATGAAATCATTTATTGAATATAGTTTCTGAGGCCGATTTATTATATTTGATGTGCATATAATACTAGTCTGAACATGAATATACCTAAAAGAAAAATGCTTAAAAAGTTGAAGTAAACTTGCATTTCCAAACTTGCTGTTTTATTACAAATCTCGTGTAGTTATGCTTATATATGAAATTACATAAACCCATTGCCTGAAGCATAACAACTTATAAAGGTGGCTATATACAATAATATTTAAAAGATGTTAAAATCCAACATCCAACATCCAACTAAATAAAAACAAATTTAAAATCACAAAGTAAGGTTAGTTCTGATTCAGTTCTACAGATTATTCGTTTTTGTTATCATCATTCGTCAGGGTTGTTCCTTAAAAATTTTTGATTTTGCATCAGGCAACCTAGATCGTGCATATTCGGTTGAAAATGTGCATCTGTGGTAATTTAACTTGTATACGAACCATAGAAATAGAAGGGATAGAGAATGAGCTTCAACATGCGCGGAAGGTCTAATTATGGAGGTCTAATCAAGTTGGGCGCCATATTCCATGATATTCCAGGTCTCCGTGTCATTTTGTATATAGGTGGTAATCTATAAGTAATCAAATATCAATTTGCTGTTTTCAACCATACGGGGGGCAATTTAAATTTAGTGAAATTCTATCATTTATTATGGTTAGTTAACATTAATATGATTTATTTAATTATCAGTTTCAAAACTGGGTGCAATACATATAATACACTAATATAAGAATATTCTGACAAAAGACGCTACGGACAGATGACCTTTTCTTAGTCGTTAAACACTCGAAATGCCATTAAATAAGTATTTACAATTATTTCATGTTTACTTGTATTGAATTACGCGTTTCAATTTAAAATTTTTGCAAATTTAGTAAAAATTGTTCTAAACAACGTTTTGTTCAAGTTGTATATTCATAAAAAACATTTGGTTCATAATTATTTTTGATGATTACCTACCTTGAATTTTTAATATAAACCTAGAAAAGTATGTTTCTGTTTTATTTTTTTTATTCGTCCCTTCAAATTGTGTTACAAAAACTGTTACATAACATGTCCTCTAACAAATATTTTCATAATAGATAAACATCATTGATTTTATTAAGGGTATTATTATTAGTATTTATCTCCTGGTTTTTGCCGACAATAAAAACTCAATCTTGTAATAGAACATCAATTTTATATTTCGTAAAATTATTTTGATACAAATTCAATTTGTCAAAATTCAAGTCATTAATATATTGATAAACAACCCAAATTATTCCTAAATATTTTATTATAAAAAAAACTGTTACCGGTAACCGGTAAGTTTGTAAAACACATTACGGTTTGTCTTAATACAAGAAAAAATCATTTATTTTTTGCACACTTGTCGATCCTTATTTGTCCATAACAAAATTCTGTATGTACAACATACATATACCTAATTTATTATTAAGAAAATAAGATTATATGATCTCAGAATTTTAAGAAATTTTTTTTAAGATAAAATAGTTTCTTCTCAACTGTAATATTGTCAACTTTGGCCTGTATTTTATCTATTTAAAAACATGGGATTGACAATCCCCTGATTAAGTTTCATTGCATCAAATACCTTTGCTATAAATCCTGGCTCACAATTTAAGGCCATTGCAAAATGCTTTTGAGCTTCATCATAGATTTTACAAGAATAAAAGTGTAATATTGAAACAAAGTAACATTGTAAGCTTCATGACTAATAATCTCATTTTTAACACTCTTTAAATATCATCTCGTTAACAATTATGAATATTATATGATTTTTCTCAGTGATTTGTGGCACAGATACAAATTAATACCGTATGATCGAATAAAAACGGCGTCCAGTTGGCTTGGAAATGACGATTGATGGCATTTCCTATATAAATTTACATATAAAATGACAGCGATCTTCATTTCATAGCCATCGCTGACGCTGTTTTTATTCGATTATACGGTATATGCCCCATAACAGTTTTTAAATAAGAAACTTCTGCCTACAGATTTAATTTTCTTATTGGCATAATACCCTTTCTTCCTATATAAATCTTGCCATTTTTTCAGTCCAATGTTCCTTGTTTTTACAGTTGTAGGAATACTAAAAATGTTGACTATAGAACTCGATACTATGTTTGAAAAAGCCTTCATACCTGTAACTGTGCATAAATCTAATTAACTGAATTCTCCTCCTCTTGACACTCTGAACACGGCTGCTGCTAATGTTAGAAATATTTAGCACAAAACTACAACTACCTACAACAAACTTTACAATAAAAGTGTTAAATTTTCGCTGTTCGATTAAAATACCCTATCTTATGTTTTCTTTTCCTCCAAATAATCTTCTTGTCAAGTAAGGACCAATCTTATTTGATATATTTCTGGTACACTTGAACTTGTGCTTTCATGGACACTATAAGAGTGCACTGTTTTACAGAAGCACGAACACTGATTCCAAGTATCTTCTTCCTCCACACGTAATAAAAACATCCTCTTTAAATGGCCACATCATACACTTATTTTTGACCATTCCCAATTACAATCACGATTTTTACAAATCGCCTTTAGGAAAACTAAAAATAAACAGTTTTGAATCATCTGTAAACACAATTATGTTGTATAAACTTACACATGAAAACTAATCATTATTCCCGGCGTATTAGCTTTCTTAGAATGACTATGAATATACAACAATCCTTTTTGAATTAGTGTTTAGAATAATTGAGATAATAATAAATTTTAACTAGATAATAACACAAACGAAAATCAAAACAAAACAAACAGATGTCAATTAAAGAGGGGAAGTGACAGCGAGACCTGGAAGATGTCTGCCATCTTGCCGTCGACAAAAATTTGGATGCGCACTCGTCGAAGCTCATTCTCCCACTTCCATATCTCTGATACGAACAAAACCCTGGAGGCTGGGGGCAGGGTTCGGAAAACTACATGTTACTCATGTTACTTTTAAAAACTACATAAACTACATTACATGTAGTTAATGTAGTTTATGTAGAGGATGTAGTTTATGTAACCTATGTATATATGTTATATCCATATTTAACCTTCAAATGACCTTATTTACTCTTTATACTTATTTATTGTTATTCATTGTTTATTCCAAAGTTAAACGTATAAGTTCGTTCTAATATAACTCATAAACAATCATATTATGTTTCTTGAGAATCTTTCTAACTACGATGTTCCCATGGTCTCTTCAGTAAACAAGTCGCAGTTCCATGATGGGAAGCGAAGGCTCAGCAACTTTAAGAATATTTAAGCCGATCTCTTTCCCCCAGAACAACAACTCGAACGCACAACGCACAACTTCAGAACGCAACTGTATCCGTAAGTCGTATCGAAGTTCATATAATTTATTTATTTTACTTTTGTTAAATTTTTAAAACTTAATAAAGTGTTTTAAAGTATTTTAATGTTTTTAAATAATAAAAGTGAAAGATAAAATCTAACAATTGGCGCAGTCTGTAGGATAGTTTCACAAAAACGTCGGTAGAACACGAGTATTCTAACTACCAACGGTGGATTCCAATCCTTCAAGCGAAAGAAGAACTTACGAAAAACTCAAGAAAATTAAGAAAAATCAAGAAAGAAAATTAAGAAATCAAAGAAGACAAAATACATCTGGCGTCCTCACTCATAGGCAGATCTACGGATTAGAAAAACACCTATGAAACCCCTGGTAGAAAACTTCCTCCTTGAAATGCACAAAAGTGGTTTTTGAAAATTAGTGTAAGTCATAGACTTAAAATAAAAATATAGACTGAGCATCCATTCATAAATAGCTGGAACATGCGGTCAGACACTGTCTTGTTATTGTTGTGTTATTGTTTTAGGTTATAACGAGTGCGACACGAGCGATAGATAGGTTGTCTCTGTCGTAACGGTCGTTCCCTGACGACTCTGCCGAGAAACACAACACTGTCTTTCGTTTCTCAAGTACACCTGAACTCTCCGTATCATAGCCGGGTAATTTTTTTATTTTAATGAAGCTATAATTAAATTAAAAATATATCGTATTGAAACTTTTTTATATTTTATTAAGATTTAAGACAGGTTTTTTAAATAAAAGTTTAGAAAAAACGTCTTAGAGTCCAAAAAGGATAAAAATATTAAAATACACGTCATAGAAGAAATTTTATAATCGAAATTACGTAATTTTTGAAATTAATAATAAATTATTAATTTTAGTCAAACATTTACAACCCCTAATATTAATCAAAACAGGATCTATTCCACAGATATAATAGAATCGGCGACAGGGAGAAAAAAAAAATATGATTGTTGTAATTTTATTTCTGGTTAAGTGATGTCTTATTATGTAAATTAGAGAAAACATAAACCTGTTCCATTAAAGCAAGGAAGGTGATAGAAAGTGGATAAAATGAAAACTACATTTATTTAACTCGGTACTGTCTTCATTATACCGGGTGCGTCCCAAAAGTGGCTCATCCCCATAATTTTTTTATATTTTCAAATAAAAAAAACAAGATTTAGTATGTTAGTATATAACATAAATTAGGATTGATTGACGCATTCAATTGTTTTTGGTCACTTCCTGTTTCACCGGAAATGACTATAACTTTTAATTTTTAAAGGGCACCCTTGGTATATTTCTACTTTATTCGATGGAAAATGACACTCTGAATAGAATGACATATGATATGTCAACTTTTGACATTTTCGCATATGGTTTAATTGTAATTGTAACACGCGGTTCATAACGACAATTTGACTCGAAATACCAAGTGTTTGGTATCAATATATTCATAAAAAAATGCTTTTTCCAAATATGCTAACGAGTCACCCTTGTTCCATTTGAAAAAATTGACATATATGTTATATCCATATTTAACCTTCAAATGACCTTATTTACTCTTTATACTTATTTATTGTTATTCATTGTTTATTCCAAAGTTAAACGTATAAGTTCGTTCTAATATAACTCATAAACAATCATATTATGTTTCTTGAGAATCTTTCCAACTACGATGTTTCCATGGTCTCTTCAGTAAACAAGAGGCAGTTCCATGATGGGAAGCAAAGAATCAGTAACTTCAAGAATATTTAAGCCGATGTCTTTCCCACGAGGAACAACTCGAACCACAGTCTTCATATCTTCATACGTGTCGTATCGTAATTCATAAAATAGAAGTTATTAAAGTCAAATAAAAGTGTTAAATTATTTTTAAATGTTTTTTTAACGGTAAAAGTAAAAAGTAAATTATAACAATTGACGCAGTCGGTAGGATATTGTGCAACGTCGGAAGAATACGAGTATTCTCCACT